GGGAGCTTGTAGTCAATTCCTTACAAGCAAGATCAAAATTAAATATGCCGATTAATCATTTCATTTTGATTGAAGCACGTCAAATACATTACATAATTTAGACAAGCACACACGTGTTGTCAGTTGATCTGATGTGATTAGCTCCTTCTGTAAATTCCTTTCAGCTATCTATCGTACTTATAGTATCGCCTCCTTTTTTTGTATGTTACTCTCTCGTACTTTTTGCCGCTAAATTTTCTGACCTCTGTTACTTTACGATGTCCGGGATAACAGCAAACTTCTTTCTCTTGTTCGTTGTATCGTTTATTGCATGGTTACATAGTTGTTATCTAATTTTTCTCTAACTCCTCTGTCCATCTTTTTCTGGGCTCTCTACAGTAAACACTTCTAATCTCCGGTACTTATATGACCTACATTTACGCTGCAAGCGCCGCAAAACTCTTACTCTATAAACTAAATGCGTGGTTGGTTGGCGGGTACTCTGGTAGGATTTGCTTGTTCTTTCCTATCAAACATCTATCGTCTTTATCTCCGCTCCTTCTTTTTTGTATTTGTTACTCTCTTGTGACACCTCTAATCTTCGGCACTTACATGGCCTTATTGTGTTGCAAGTGCCGCAACACACTTACAAAAGGTAATTTCTAGTAACACCACTAAACTTCTGTTCTTATATGACCTATAACTATGACGTAAGTGCTGCAAAACTCTTACTCTATAAACTAAAGTTCCTGGCTTACCTGCATGACTTCCATTTTGTTGTTGACCTCGGATAAATTCCTAGAGATTTTCTTCTTCTGAGTGTAGATGATCTTTAGGTTCAGCCTCTGTTTGTCCAGCACTGCCACAATAAGACCTAGAAGGTGGGTGAACAATAACAGAGTGTGTCAACCACAAGATAACATTGTCTGGGGCGGCTCTCTACGTTAAAGCTCACATTAATCAACTTTGAAGATTCGTGGCTGAATTGCTAAGCGATCCAAAGCCACAGAAAGGTGATGACAGGTTACAGTGTCTCTGGTGAATAGCTAAGAGCAGGTGAAATAAAGTAAAGTCAACAATGTAGGAGAAATGAGGAGACCAGGAATGAGCTGGGTGGGTAGTATCAATGGCATGACCAACAAGATCAAAAGAGAAACGAGATAAAGGGAATAGAAAATGATGGTGGAAGATATAATAATAAAAGTGATAGAGATATTATAGCCGCAAATGACGACGTCGACGAAGATGATTATGATGATGACGATGATGATGATGATGATGATGATGATGATGATGATGATGATGATGATGATGATGATGATGGTGATGATGATGATGATGATGATGATGATTATTAAATAGAATACAAAACGTGCTGGTATTGAAATTATTACATAGTGAGCTTTGAGATCAAGAAGGCAAAAGAAAAAGCACAAGAGATACCTACAATGTCTGTTAATATGATTTTTAAAAAATGATGTGGGTTCACTTCCCGACTCCGTCGGAGTGACGTGAGATCCACAGTAAAAGTAGACTTTTTAAAACCCAATTTTTCTCATTTCATCCGGCTGCCAATCGGCACTTGTTATTTTAAAGAAACGAAAAAACGTGAGTAGCCGCGCTGGGCGCCTAACATAAAGCAACACTTTATGTCTCTCTCCAAAAACTGAGATCGTAATTTGGAAGGAATAGACAGGCCAAATGAGTAATTAGGAAGTCCTGGAATCCAAACGTGAATCTTCATTGAGATTCACAACCTTATAATGAAATTTTAGAGCGATCCACAGCATTATATGTGATCCTTGAAGGGGATTTACAACTTTATATACCAACATTGAGGGGGATCCACAAGTCTATAAGCTAACCTTGAGGGATATCCGAAGCTTTATATGTGAATCTTGAGGGGGATCGACATGGATAAATAAAAACTATAACCATAATTTTCAGTCAAACTCACTGTTGAGGACTCGAAGAATTCGCCAAGGCAGGAGAAACGTGAGGATGAGGACAAAATCGTCCATTTTCAAGATGGTCACCCCTTCAATAAACACCAGGTCTAAGATGAATGAGATGATGATAACGATACCGTCGAACACCTGTGGAAAGAAAACAATAAACGTATGGAGAAGGCCTATGGAAAATACGTTTTAAAGATGAAAATAAAACATGTTTTGTTCATAGTGAAATTGATATTAAAACACATTCTGTTATAATCTCCTATAGCTGAATATCTTATCCCATTGCAGGTCGCCTCAGTGCTGAGACCAACTTACGAGACCAGATAGTCCGAGATGACGACATTTTCACAAATAGTTGTTGCACCTTTAGTGGTAAACATTCTTTCGGAGACTTGTATGTTTCTCTGTTAGGGTGCCA